TCTACACAGGAGCCGTATGGTGCTGGGGAGCGTGGGATATGGTAGTGGCGTTCATTGAGGTGGGAAAAAGTCGCCACTGGAGCCTTGGAGTGTGCTTTGGATCAGTGGACAGGTCTATAGTGCACATTTTGAACCCTGCAAACCCCTGCTCCTGGGGTCTCAGGCGCGATGGAGATCTGTATAGTTTCCTAAACACTCAGATACACTTTGGGATGACAGAACATCCCCAGGTAGTGCGCATAAAGCTAGAGGATTGTTATGACCAGAAGAGAGTATGGTGGAGGAATGTAAGCTATTTTAATGCTGATTGTAATTGCCTTTTAGCAACAACTTCTCAACTGCCGACAGGGATGGAGCTCTTTCCATTTGTGATCCCAGAAAAGCGCTCCGGCCCACTGCGTGTCGTCCCAGCTAAAGTTACTTTAAAAATTAAGCAAGTTGAAGAAGATAGATCTTTCCTGGAGAGACACAGAGTCTCCTTATTGATCCTGTTAGTAGTGTTATTATGTCTGGTGCTGTGTGCTTTTGCATATCGTCATCACTTTTAGCATTACTCAGTAGTAGCCAGGTAATCGTAACAGAAGCTACTAAAAGGCTGTTTATATCTTCACACAGTTATGTTAATATTTGTGTAAAAACATTTGAAAACCTACTAGAATAAGTTTCCTTTAGTGATAAATGTGCTAGTAAAGACACGTGTCTATATGAAGAGCTTTCAGTTTAGTCTATATTTAATCTATATTACCCAAATTGTCAAAAAACACTCTGATTCTTAAGTATTCACCTGCAGTTTAAGTGTCAAATGTTTATAAAATATTGTCAAGTTAAGTGCTATTTTTGTCTGCTTCATCTATTAAACCATCACCATTGACAGGGTAGTGTTGTCATGATACCAAATTATGACTTCAGTATGATACCTGACATAAATGTAAAATAAACCAATACCACAACAAAAACCTAAAACAACTGCAAAAGTAGTTGAATCATAGATGACCCAATCTGTAAGTTTTTTTTTTATTCTTTCATTCATTCATTAGTAAATAAATAAATGTCAGTGCCACCACATGGCAAGCAAATATCGGTCAATGAGACATTGACAATGAGATATATTTGCAACATTGGTAAGTTAGCTAAAAGGATAATAATAATCACAATAGGCTATAGTTATTTTTTATTTTATTAAAAAAAGGACAAAGATGCAAACTGCAAATAAAATGATCAATTGTAAAATAAAGCTCTCCATAGTCTTCAGTGTATGAACTAAATACATTGTTATTTAGTCAAGAGCAGTGAGTGATTTTCTTTCTGTCTTTTGTGGTTTCATTAATGAGCTAGACAGCAGCAGGTTTATTAGGCTGATGTCACTTTAAGACCTAACTATGAAATCATTATAATCATTATTTATAACTTTTGATTAATAATTATTTATATAATAGGCCATTTGTTCACATTTGCATGTAGCCTAAATGTAGGCTATTGTGAAATTGGAAATGTGTTTTCTTGCTTATGAAATACATTTTAAATAACTTTTGGTATATGATGGTCAAAGAGAAATATATTTGATCAATTTCAAAAATATATTTATTCGAGCATCACTGTTTACATATGCATACAAATATATTTAAGATATATTTTAGCTAGATTTTATAAAAAAAATTTAATGGGATAATTTGCACATTATTGTATTAAACGCCATAGTCGTTTTCTCTTTTTTTTCTGGTGTTGCTAGCTCCTTGAAGGAAATCATCTCAATCAATTTTGTTACAATGTGTAAAAGAAAATAGTCATAATGTCTTAAATTTTTGTTTATTTATCAAATATTTATATTTTATGCACAATATATTTTAGTGTGTTTGAAGGTGCCTTTAGGGGTTATTCATAAGTGTTTCATATAAATGTCATAATACTGATAAATAAAATGGTGTGTGTGTTAAGACCATACGAGTGAGTGTCTCTGATTCATTTCTAAATATTTACAACTAATAGAGCAAAGTATAGCGGCATATTTGATGTTTGATGAAATTGAGGCTGTGAAGGACAGAAGTACAGTGCATGCAATGGATCGTATACTGTTGATTAACAATATACCGATTGTTCACCTGCTGAAAAAACATCTTTCCATAAAAAACAAAAAAATCCATAAAACAGTTTTGAAAGTTGTGAATATTACATGATAAGACCCTCATATAGTGCGTGCCATTGTAAAGACTGTAAGTCTATCCCTCACAGCCTCGTGTTCATTCGTGTTAAATTCAGTGTGGCATCTAACCTGACTATGATCTATGGTAGATGAATTCAAAGCAAGTCAAAAAATTAATCTTGCTAAATCCTCTACTGTACAAACACAGATGCAGAAGCAAGAGTAGGAGCCAAGAGACAAAGGCATGGTAGCCAATTAGAAAAGCTTTATTGATTAACATGCACTTTTATTAAAGGTATCAGCTAAAAACAAACCAGCTCATGGAGAAATTAGTCACTATTTAGGATGGAGGCGACTTCTTAGCAGTTAAATGGTTAATATTGTAATTTAGTGATAGCAAAGCATAAGAAAAAAAAGTAAAATGAATGTATATAAATGGTAAAATTTTATGGATTATGTTGTGTATGTTTAGAATGCATTTTTATAGATGTTGAGTTGGCGATGGCCATCTCTTACTCTATTTAAAATGAGTTTAATCTGCACATCATTAGAGTCCAGGGAACAGGTAGAATTTCCTCACAAGGGACATCCTTTCAATACAAGGCAATAGTTTCTCTTCTTCTGTGAAACGTGGGTCATTCTCCATGCGTGAGGCAACCTATAACAAATATATTTGAGTGTGAAGCAAACTCTTTAATTTTAATTGAGTGATGTACTCGGAGTGAAAAAATAAATGGGATTTTCTTCATTTACCTTCCTGAACAACTCCATGATGTCAATATTATGAGAGCATGTACTGAACACATCCACGATGTACCTGATGAAATAACTCCCACTGTCAGGGTCCCTGTACGATACAGTATCTGTGGAGATAATTCATCAAGTTATACAATAACGTTAACGACCTTTGAAACTTTGCTCATTATGTAAGAAATATTGGACAACATTTTTGCGTTTGCTAATGACGTTTCATCACACATCTGAGTGGTTTAATCATTTTGCCAGTAAGGCAGTTTCTTCTTCAAAGTGTGAATCAACCTTATGCTAACACTTTTAAGAAAAGAAAAACAAAGTTGTTTAAATTGTTTCTACTGGAGCTTATGGCCAAACTGAACAGGTATGTGCTACAAATCTCCTTTCATCAGTCAGTGTTTTTGAGGACTCACCAGGGAGGCTGGACCTAAAGCAGACAAAGTCTGAACCCAGGAGTCTGATGCAGGCACTCGATCAGGAACATACACACCTCCATCGTCACCTGGACAGAGAAATTATTCACAAAATGGAAGACAATCTTACTGTAAACACAGAAATGCTGAGTACAAAAAGAATTACAAATAACAATACGATTACCACTGAGTTTTATCAATCATAATACATATACATTTATTAGAATAGTGAAGAATAATATGGCAGTGGGACAAACCAGGGCCGGAGTGGGAGTCATTTTCAGCTCTGGAGTTTCATGCTTTAGAGCAGCCCACTTTAGTTCACGACTGACTATAGCTATTACAATAATGTCATTAAAACTTCAGTATATAAGTCTGCAATAGCGCACTGTTCTCTACAGACTTGCAATTCATTATATTTTTCTACAGCTTTGTTTTGTTTTATTATTTTTCTCGCCGCCTTTGCGCTTTCTATTATACATTTTTTAATCTATTATTTTTTGCTCGCATATCTCCAACAAAATATTTGTAGGCCTACTGTACCATAATGTCTGCCTGCAGTTAAAAAGTTCTCAGAAATAATCACATTTGTTTTGCTTAAATATATTCTAAAAATAATTTTAATGGCATACAAAAAAAAAAGTCATCGGCATGAGTAAATTGTACCATTATAAAATTGAGACTGCACAAGTAGTGTAGTAATTTAGGAGGTGAACATACTGTGAAATTACATTCATACAAATGGCATGAAATTTGAAATCATAACAACTGAATGTCAATGAAACGTCTATGCACTTACATTTTTTGAACTAAAATGGCTATTATTGCAACCATATAGCCTATGAATGAATGAAAATGCCTATTTTTCAATTAAAGAAAACTTGTGGGCTGCTTCTGGTGCTTGGATTTCTACTTCAATAAAATTAGGTTAGGTTTAGTTTTTTTTATACTTTTCAAATACTTTTTTTTTTATTTAAAGCCTTCAACAACCAGCTTGTTCACAAATAAAACAATATTTTGCACAAAAATAATGATTAATTATCAATTGAGAATTTGTTGTTCATATGGCTTGCCTGCGTATACGGGACAAACTGTGTTCTGACTTTCATACGGGACGCTTAAATACAGGCATCCATATTTCAACCCCATAGCAGTGGCATGACAGTACCGGCCCTCGCGGCCAAAAAACAGACCAGCCCACCGGGAATTTTCCTGGTGCTCCCGGTTAGCCAATCTGGGCCTGGGACAAACGGTGCTTCGGGAACACATCGCAACAGTTCACAGTTTTGAAGCGCTCGCCGAGGACTTCTGCTGGTCACAGTCATGTAGCCTAAATGCAAGGATGAGTCCAAATCAGCGATACACTTTTTATGCAGAATATGATACAGAAATTACCAATATAATGCAATATTAAATATGATAACTCTACCCCTAATCCTAACTGTCACACACACACACACATGTTAACATTTTGTTTTTTATTTTAAATGTTCTTATTGTAAAATAAATAAATAAAAATCTGTGTGTATGAATGTGACTAAACAAGTTTTTTTTTCACAGCTTTTGCAGCTTTGCATGTGAATCAGAGCGGTTCATCAGCGCCCCCTGTTGTTTGGGTATATTAACGCTTTAGTGATTCTTTCCGACCTTCTTTTTCTTCCAATGACAGTTTGACATGTCATTTCCTCATACAGAGGCTGTACTAAGACTGGGAAGTGTTTATTTTGGACGTCTAAAGTCAGATTTGTTCTGAGTTAGTTTCATCTCTTCTGTCTCTAAATGGCGCTCGAGGATGAGCTGTCGTGTCCCGTGTGCACTGAACTCTTCAGAGATCCGGTGTTATTGAGCTGTGGACACAGTTTCTGCCGGCAGTGCATTAATGCTCACTGGACCTCCAGCAGCTCCAGAAACTGTCCCGTCTGTCGACAGGTGTCTCCGCAGGAACCGGTGTCCAACCTGAGCTTGAGGAACACCTGTGAGGCTTTCCTGAGAGAGAAAAGCACGAGGAAAGAGTGGGATGAAGAGCACGAGTGTCTGATACACGGAGAGAAAGTCGAGCTGTTCTGTCAAACTGATGAAGAGGTTTTATGTTCAGAATGTAAGAAACATGAGCATGCAAAACACAAAATACAGCCGCTACAACAGGCTGTACGACAACGCAAGGTGAGAATGTATATTTGACATTTTATATAGGCTCTTTCATTATTTATTAGAATGACGTGGTTATTAAAGCAACATTGCAATAATTTAGAACGAACATTATTCTTGCTATAGTTGGTGTTTAATAAGCTGTTTTTGCCAAACACCATTTTTAATCATGGTCTAAACATGTGCATTTATTTGATTTCTGTAGAACGACCAAGTAGTAAGTTAAGCTAAAAATGGAATTTCCCTTTAAGTGCTTAGTAAAACATTTCAATACACGTGTTGATTGGTAATTGTGGAGTTTTCTGTAAAGGAAAAGCTGAAAGCAGCTCTTCGTCCAGCTGAGAAGACTTTGTGGTCATTACAGAACAGTGCAGCACAAGATGCCAAGATCTGTAATTTCAATCAGGTGACATGTTCCATAAATGTTTCATATATTATCTTTAAAATAATATTTAATTAAATATTTGATTTTGATTCACATAGTTTGATGTGGGAAACATTTATTATTATTAAAGCATAATCAACCACCAGTACATCACTTCTCAGAAGCCCATGACCCAACAAATGGCAATTAATGCCAACAGACCCAGAATTTCTAACCCCTCCCCCCCCCCACTTCCTCCTTAGTTGAGTTTTTTGTCACTTCGTGATTGAATTGTTTTGAGTCATTTCAATAATCCGTCCATGTAAGTCTATGGGATATTTTTCAAGTTTAGATTGTCATTTTTAGGAAAACTGTACATTTTTCAAGCCAACATAATTAGGCAAGATAATCTGCTAATTCAGATACACATGCAATAAACATGCATAAATTGCCCCCCAGTCTCAAGTTCAGCAGACAGAGAAAAGAATCAAGGAGGAGTTTAAGAAACTCCAACAGTTCCTTAAAAAGGAGGAAGAGAGTAGGATAGCAGCTCTAAATGAAGAAGAGAAACAAAAGAGAGCAAAGATAGAGAAGAGAACAAAGGGAAGGATACGTTCGCTCTCAGACAGACTCGGAGAGGTGGAGGAGCGAATGAAGGACGATGACGTTACCTTTCTCCAGGTTGGGACGGCAGAAACGTCACACACTCACACATTCAGTGTTGGTTACATTTGATTTAACAACAGTTCCTAATCTCGCTGTCTCATTGTGCATTCTTGCAGAATTATAACAGCATTATGAACAGGTATTTTGTGTTCTATAAGAACAAATTCATTAGTTTATCAGTGTACAAATGATTTATTCTGAAGTGTGTGTGTGTGTGTGCATGTGTTCAGAGCTAAATGCACACTCCCAGATCAGGAACTAAGTTCAGAAACTCTTATTGATGTTTCTAAACATCTGGGGAACTTGAAGTACCAAGTGTGGGATAATATGAAGGACATCTGCCCTTACTGTGAGTACTAGACTTGTTCATTTGCTGTAAGAACTATTACATTTATCAACATAAGTGACTGGTCCCTGTTCTCTGCAGATCCTGTGATCCTGAATCCACACACAACTCCAGCAGACTTTTCTGTGTCAGACGACCTGACCGCTGTGACCTCATGTGTCCATCGACAGGACAAATCCAATGCTTTTCCTTTGAACAGGAGCCGTATGGTGCTGGGGAGCGTGGGATACGGTATTGGCACTCACACGTGGCAAATTGAGATGAGAAACAGCCGCCACTGGAGCCTTGGAGTGTGCTTTAGATCAGAGGGAAAGCCTATTACACAGCCTTTGAGCCCTGAAAACGGCTTCTGGGGTCTCAGACGAGATGGATGTATGTACAGTTTCCTGAGCACTCCAACAAGGTTCAGTATAAAGACGAATCCTGAAGTAGTGCAAGTGAGACTAGAGGATGATTATGATGTTTTGGGCAGGTGGCAGAGGAAGGTGAGCTTTTCTGATGCCAGGAGTGATTCTCATTTTGCAAAGATTACCGGAGTGCCTGCAGGGAAGGAACTCTTTCCATTTGTGATTCCGGAAGATCAGTCCGTCCCGCTGCGTGTTGTTCCAGTCCCAGCTAAAATCACTCTGGCTGGTGAACAGGTTGAGCGGAATCTGTCCTTCCAGGAGAGATATAAAGGCTTGATTGAGATCTGTTGTTGGGTTGTCATAGCCTTATTGGTGATTCTATCATTCAAGAGAGATGGACATAAATGAAGTTAGTGTTTACTATTGTCCTCGTGCATTATCAACAAAGATAAAAAATTTTTGGGTGAACTAACCCTTTAAGAAACAATCACCAATATTTGATGGTGCTGCTGATTTTAGACTATTTAACCTTTGGGTGGTGAAGAAAATTTTGCATTTGTGTTTAGATATTTGTAATTTTCATCATTTGAATAACCAAAATGTAAAAACAAAAGATGCATAGTTCTCTTTGTATGAAGTGAATAAAAATTTATTCTTATGTAAGGTACTGAAGTGATTTAGTCAAGAAGAGTACATGATTATAATTTTTTTGTCCAAACCCATAATGACTTCATCTTTGGAACACAAATTAAGAAATTTTTGATGAAATCCGAGAGCTTTCTAGCTTTCTGGCTCTCCATAGACAGCAAGGGTCCTAACATGTTCAAGGCCCAGAAAGGTACCAAGAACATCGACAAAATAGTCCATGTGACATCAGTGATTCAAGTTTAATTATATGAAGCTACAAGAATACATCGTTGTGAGCAAAAAAATTAAATTTCGATTTTATTCAGCATTTATTTATTCTTTTCCCCTGAGTTACCACCATTATTGAAAGGACCACAAGACACTTTTGTGGTGCTATTGACGCAGAACACTTTTTTGGTTGTTTTTTGCACCGCATGTCTACGTAACATGTCTAGTCTGTTTTTACTGTGTTTTCTGTTCTACCTGCCTTTGACCTAGCTTCACTTATGTCTTGATTAGCTCATTCGTTTCCACTTGTGTTTATTAATTATCTTGTTTGTCTCCGGTCATTTAAGCCCTGTGTTCTCCTGAGTTCCTTTGTCCTGTGTTGCATATGTTTCATGTTGGTTGTTCTGCACTTTCGTTGAGTTTCTCTTGTGGATTTATTAAAAGCCTGTTATTTACAGTTCTCTGTCGTCATGTGCTCCTTACAGAACCAACACCGTTACAGAAATATTATTGGAACATTAGGATGCTCATACTAGGACTGATTACATGGCATTTACTGAAATGCCATCAGGAATGAATCCTTTTTATGCAGCAATATCATATTCAGTCTAATATTCAAAGTGAGTCAAGCTCTTCCCGTATGTTAAATCATCTACAAACCAAGATGCAAAAGCATGAACAGGAGCACAGGGACAAAGGCATGGTAACAGATTAGAAAAGCTTTATTGATTATTTTGCACTGTTATCAAACTTATCAAACAAACAAGAGAAGCAGCAGATGTTCTTATAACGAGCCAGCTGATGGAAACATTAGTGCATAGTTACTATTGGATGGAGGTGACTCCTTAGCAGTTAACTTATGGTCAATATAGTAATATGGTAATAGCGTAATATAAGAAAATGTCATTAAATGAGATGTTTAAGTAAAAAAAAAAAGAATGTTTAAAAATAGTACTATAATAAATAATGTAATAATTCCATTTATTTTACTGTGTGTATATATTTAGAATATGTTTTTTTTATTATGAAAACGTTCATGCACTCAAAGTTTTAGATTTTGGGCTACTTTACTTCCATAACGTGTCCTCTTTCAAACTAGGGGAAAGTAAACATCCAAAATACACATTAACGTTTTATTTTATTACCCTTATATGCATCTATAGATTTCAATTGGTTAGATATCTGTTTGTCTTATATCCAAATGTCAGCAAAGTTTTTTTCTGGTACCCCAAACCAGTGTTTCTGGTAACCAAAGCTGTATTAACTGTCTTCTCTCAGCCAAGAAGTTGACTGAGTAAAGCAGGGTTTATAGAATAATCTCAGTTGTGTATGTTTTCAGTGACTTTATCTGACCAGCACAAATCCAACAAGTGTTATTATACCACAAAATAAAACCAATGGAAATGACTGCTTCACAACATTGTCCTGTGTGTAAAAAACCTGAAATGGAGACATTCTCTGATCTCTTACTCGTGAACACATATCTCTTGAAACCACACACATCATAAGCCATAATAGACAAAAATGGAAAAATAACAATAAAATAAAAAATAGAATATAATATAAATTACTAATCAGTGAATAAATCGATTAAATGTTTATTTTAAATGATCATATGATTAAATGGAATGATACAATGATTAAATGATTATAAATGAATGGGTATAAAAGAAAGAAAATAAATCAGCGTAGATATATGATTGCTCTCTTGAAGTAACCCACACAAATTGCTATGAAGAATCCTCTAAACCCTCAAATTACAATACATGTCTTTAGAGGTTGTTTCCTCAAAATGAGTTTTTTTTTCTTATGCACTGAATTTTGAACCTGGCTTTATTTGATGTTTTAGATTTCTGTTCTTTTTTTTTTTAATGAAGAAATTCATGTAAATGCATGCGCATTTAGTTAGGCAATGCCTCATTTGCATGTTTAAACAACATTTCAGAGAATTTGAAATATAAGACAAATGTCTTAATGTACTGTGATTAATCAACTGAGGAAGTATGGTGATGTTTTATATAGTTTTTACCCAATTCACCTGTAGGGTTTTGCCTTTAAACTGATTTTACATCATTAGAGTCCAGGGAACAGGTAGAATTTCCTTACAAGGTTCGTCCTTTCAATACACGGCAATATTTGCTTCTCGCATGTGAAACGTGGGTCAATCTCCATGCGTGAGGCCACCTGTAAAAAAAGATCACATTTGGATGTGACAAGAAGCAAACTTGTTCATTTTAACTGAGCTATGAACTTGGGGTGATAAAATGAAAGATATTGTTTTGACTTTTAGCAGGAATAAAGCAAAGGAATTGATATGGGTTTTCCTTCATTTACCCTCATGAACAACTCCATAATGTCATATTTATGAGCGCTTGTGCCAAACACGTCCACTATGTAATTGATGAAATAACTTCCATTGTCTGGACTCCTGTACGCACAGACATCTGTGGAGATAATTCATTCTTAGGTCATACAATAAAGTACAAACAATCTTTGAAACTTTGCTCATTAAGGAAGAAACATTGGCCATTTTAGATGATGTTTCATCACAAAGCTGAATGGTTTCATGGAGTGAAATTAATATATTTAACAAAATGAAAACAAAGTTGAGTAACGCTTTATTTTAAGGTGTCCTTGTTACATGTTACATGTACTTACAATTGTAATAACAATAAATTATGCATAATTATTTGCAAGTAACTCAAAGCAAATCCCTAATCATATAGTAGGTACATGTAGTTAATTAATATTACTCAGTACTTAAATTAATAATTATACTGTAACAAGGACACCTTAAACCCAAAGTTGTTTTAATTGCTTCTACCGGACCATTGAATATGACCAAATTGAACAGGTGCAAGCAGCAAATCTCATATCTGCAGTCAGTGTTTTTTTTCTCACCAGGAAGGGTGGACCTAAAGCAAACAAAGTCTTTCTCCCCGTGAACCCAGGAGTCTGATTCAGGCACACTGTCACTGGCGCACACACCTCCTTCGTGCTCTGGACATAGAAATGGTTCATGTGTGACATTTTCACATAAAAGACTTTACAGTATTTCAGCATGCAAGGTGAAATAATTTAGGAAACAGAAAAATACAAAGAGAAATTAAAACAAGTCATGTCGTACCTCCTCTGCAGGCCTGAATGAGAATAACCTTTGGTTTATCAATCAGAGCTGGACAATTGACTGAGTTAAGATGGGAGAAGATGTCCTCAACAAAGAAGTAATCATTGGAGTGTAGATATTTATGATAATGGACACCTAAAATGGCATCTTTATTTTTTATTCGTTTCCCATGAGACATAATAATCACGAAGGTGCTGTCCGAGTCTCGATGTTCATAACGTTTAGAGAAGTTCTTGACTGCTATATTTATTGCCTGTGAATAAATAAACAATATGTTTAGAAGAATTGCATGTATAAAATATATAGTATATCTAGATATAAATATGTGTTCACATTTCTGTTTCCACATTAGAAACCTATTAGCTCAACATAGACAAGATTGGTTTCACAAAGCCGGACTTTTGTCTTACGCACATCTCCAGAGAGATTTGTGTGTTTCTCAACGCTGTAACCCAAAGCTCTCAGCAGCCACTCCATGTTCTCCTCATCTATCTCTGCCCCGTTCCTGTGACTTGAGTGGTCAAATTTAATGTTGGTGATCAGCAGAGCTGAGCCTTTCCTCTGAGGGCTGCTCGTTGGTATATAAACCTATGAAAAAAGTCAGAATTATATCAAATTAAAACACAAGCAACTCCACATGACCAGTCTACATAAAATGGCATGAAATAATTTAATTTCCACATGTCTCAAATACATATATACACATACAGTATATATACTATATGATATTTTATAGTTTCAAAAGTTTGGGGTCAGTATATATAGATCAGTATAGGTCTCCTATACCTAAGAAACCGGGGGCTGATTCAAGTATCCTTGATAATTTTCGCCCCATTTCAAAAATACCGTTTCTTTCTAAAATATTGGAAAGGGTTGTTGCTGCTCAGGTTCAGGATCATCTTTCTGATAATAGCCTATATGAGCAATTTCAACCGGGCTTCCATTCACATCATAGTGTTGAGATTGCATTAGTTAAGAATTTTAATGACTTTTTGTCTGCTGCTGATTCAGGACTTCTATCTATACTTATTTTGCTTGATCTGAGTGCAGCATTTCACACTATCTCGCACAGGATTTTGTTGGACAGATTGGAGTCTATTGGAATCATAGGTACTGCCCTGACTTGGTTTCGATCTTATCCAATGGGTCACAATCAATTTGTACAGTTGAAGCAGTTTACATCAAAGCCTTCATATATTACTAGTGGGGTTCCTCAGGGCTCAGTTTTGGGTCCTCTTTTATTTATCACTTATATTCTACCCCTTGGTAATATTTTTAAGAAGTTTGGTATTCAGTTTCACTGCTATTTTGACGACACCCAACTCTACTTGTCCTCCAAACCCACCTCTACGTTTCCTCCGTCTATCCTCTTAGATTGTGTAGCTGAGATTAAAGACTGGTTCACATAAAATATTCTTAAACTAAATAGTACTAAGACTGAAATTCTCCTAGTTGGCTCAAAAAACAATCTGGCTAAGTCTAAATGTTCCTCTGTAAATATTGATAATTTTCCAGTGCCTGTGTCTAAACAGGTTAACAGTTTGGGTGTCATCTTCGATTGGTCTTTAGAAGCACATATAAACAGTGTCATTCTTTCTGCATATTTCCATATATGTAATATTGATCGACTTCATCCCGCTTTCTCAGTAAAGAGCACAGCGGTTCTTGTTCATGCTTTAGTCACTTCCCGAATTTATTATTGTAATGCTTTTTATGGTCTGCCTTCAAAGCTTCTTTATAAACTTCAGTTAGTACAGAATTCATCTGCACAAATTATTTGCAGAACTCCCATAACTGAACACATTACTCCCATATTACAACACTTGCATTGGCTCCCAGTTAAATACCACATTGAATTTAAAATACTTCTTCATACGTATAAGGCACTCAATAATCTTGCTCCTTCGTACTTATAAACTTCTTCATATCTACACTCGTGTAGATATGACACACGTTCGTGGATCTACCCTTACTCTTGCGTGGAATTATTAAAGATTATTGAATGTATCTCCTTCGTCTTCGTCGATGCCTTCCCTCTACACGTAGAGCGTGACACATGTAAGGAATATTTGTTCAAAAGAACAAAATTGATTAGAAATATAAATGTTTTATAACATTATAAATGCCTTCACTGGCACTTTAAATCAATTTAATGCATCAGAATAATTCATTCTAGAAGGGTCAGGAAACATTGATCTATATAGAATATAATTCACAACATGTTCTGTAAAGACAGAAAAGTTTACATTGGAAAACAGTTTAAGATTTATATGCAGGAGTGTCAAAGTCAACGTGCAGGAAAGTAACCCTTCAAAAGCAGAAATAATGACTCCTGATGATATTATTTTCACAAACGTTCAAAGAAACAGAGATACTTGCTTCATTTCTATCTTGTGTAAGAAGTCTGTGCTTAAATTGTTGGCTGCATGCAGTAATGCTGTATGGTCTGAGCCAGTCGGACTGGATGGGCTGCAGCTCCATAGACTCTGGAGAATTTTTAACTTCCTCCTGCACAGGCTGCTGAACTGAAGGCAGATAATATATTTACATCTCAAATATATATTCAAAGAATCTTAACTTCATTTTATGTACATTTGTATCTTTATTTTTCAAAAAGAAGACTGCTATATATATAGATATACTTCAGAGTACTTCACAAATACAAAACCTTAAAGCAGTAAAAAAATGTTATACCTTCCTGAAGTTTTAATTCAAGGCGCTTTGCAAGCTCATTTTGTTTCATGTTGAGCAGCGCTTGGGCTGCGATCTTCCAAGCGTCATCGGGATACTGCTTTACCATGCAGTCCACCACATCCTCAAGATCAGAAGTCTGAAGCTTTGCTCGAGGAATCGGCTCAATGCCTGTCACACCATTGCGCAGCTGCCAGATGAATTGTTTGAGCTCTTCATCCACAAGATCCGCAAGTACATAAATCATCACGCTTTTGATGTCCATTTTGTGTCACTAGAAGAAAAAAAGTCAAAACAGTCTTGATTGTGCTCTCAAAGTAGTTTACTTAAAAAAAAAAAAAAAAACTATTCACCGTGTTTACCGGTTTGGTTAAATTCAGCTTACCAGTCGTGTTTCACTGAAATTTCCATTTTAAGTTTAAAATAAGCATATAAGTTATAGGCCCATGTATTTGTTCAGGTTCAAAACAATTGTATTATCAATAAAGGCCTTATAGTCTATTTAATCATATTATACAGTACCGCGCAAAATTTTTAGGCCACTAAAAACAAAAAAAACAACAACAAAAAAATTTTTTTTTTTTTACTTTACTACCCCCCCCCACGTGATTTTGAAGGGGCCCCATAGCAAATTCAGTACACAGGGCCCAGAAATCCTAACGTCGGCCCTGTGCACAGTACTGTGTATTTGTTTATATATTTATTTTAATATAAACATAAAAAATGCAAACATGCTCTATAATGAATTTAATTTGCATGTCTTGAAAGCACATAATGTCTGTCTGATTTTCTTGTATCTTTGAAGTCGGTTCTAATGACACCGTTTGTTCAGCTTTATTTTTATGTGATGTGCACATTAATTATGCAGAAATTTTGTTGTGCCAGAAAAAGCACCCTGTTGCGGATAGACGCCAACAAAAACCAAACGAACGATAACCGACACTTTCATTAGCGTTCTCATCCATTCCACATCACATTTTTCTCTAAAGTCCAGATACAATTAAAAGTGGAACATTGTTTAGTAATTGTTTAACAGCAGGGTGAGGACCGACAGAAAACAGAGACTGCACTGCTGTTTAAAATCCATATGTTCTCAGCGTGTCAAATA